AAACTTATCATTTAATTACAATTACTCGTTGTTTGTTATTGATATATTTATCATTTAGTTAGAATTACTCGTTGTTTACTACTGATAAATGTATCATTTAGTTAGAATTACTCGTTGTTTACTACTGATAAATGTATCATTTAGTTTCAATTACTCGTTGTTTGTTACTGATAAATTTATCATTTAGTTTCAATTATTCGTTGTTTGTTACTGATAAATTTATCATTTAGTTTCAATTATTCGTTGTTTGTTACTGATAAATTTATCATTTAGTTTCAATTATTCGTTGTTTGTTACTGACAAATTTATCATTTAGTTAGAATTACTCGTTTTTTACTACTGATAATTTGTTTGTTTGTTTGTTTTTAATTCCGCGCAAAGCTACACGAGGGATATCTGCGCTAGCCGTCCCTAATTTAGCAGTGTAAGACTAGAAGGAAGGCAGCTAGTCATCATCACCCACCGCCAACTCTTGGGCTACTCTTTTACCACCGAATAGTGGGATTGACCGTCACATTATAACGCCCCCACGGCTGAAAGGGCGAGCATGCTTGGTGGGACGGGGATTCGAACCCGCGACCCGCAGATTGCGAGTCGAGCTCCCTAACCACCTGGCCATGCCGGACCTACTACTGATAAATTTATCATTTAGATTCAATTACTCGTTGTTTGTTATTGATAAACTTATTATCTAGTTAGAATTACTCGTTGTTTATTACTGATAAATTTACCATTTAGTTTCAATTACTTGTTGTTTATTACTGATAAATTTATCATTTAGTTAGAATTACTCGTTGTTTGCTACTGATAAATTTATCATTTAGTTTCAATTACACGTTGTTTGTGACTCCTGTATGCGTATCACCCGTGCGCTTTTATAATTATTTACAGTACTTTATAAGATTAAAACAAACTAATACAAATATAATGCTGTATTGGTAAAATAAAGTAACTTAATTAGCAGCATTGCTAAACTGAGTGATTGGTTCTGTCCACAGCTATGATTTAGAATGCTTATTTTCTTTGCAAAGTTACAGTTTAAGACTGCTTACATTTAGTGCAGCAAATTTATACTGTTGTGTTTATTACATGAATATAATGAGATGTAACGACCCATAATAAAAACAAAGACACGATTGTCAGTTAATAAACACGTTTCAACGCTAGTGATAACGGCAGGGTTGTTGGGCCTAAAACAGAAGTAAGAAATATATTCAGATGACCGAGTTTGTTTCTTTTCTTTCAAAAAAAATAATAACTTGATCGCTGATACTTGTTAATTAAATCATCAAATAACATATTATCTAATTCACTAAAACGAAAAGAAAAATCCACGTTTCTAAATTGCATAAACTGCAGAAATTAATTAAATAAATTAAATTAATGACGAATACAATTTTAATGGTATTGATAGCTTAAAAGTCTGTTTTAGGATTTCAAAAGACAACCTGTATTTATCAAACTAAGACTAGTAATTATCATAAACTGTACTGGCAAAAGCAACAATGCTTTCTTAGTTTCAACTAGATTTTTTTTATGGCTATTTCTGTAAAAAACTAAACATATCACACTATCTGTGCTCTGTCAACATCGCGGAATCGAACCCATAATCTTAGAGTTTTAAGTTTGTCAAATTACCTCTGACTCACTGGGGGACCTGAAACCATATTACATTACGAACACATTCATTATTAATGTGGCACGATTAAGCTGTTTTTTTTTTTGCGATACGTTTCTTTAATGACAGGATTAATCTCATTTTAAGTCATCAGTAATTCAAAGAAATAATTATTTCAACCTAGCATTTTTGGGGGGATTTTTTTTATTAAACTTGGGGAAAACGATATTCTTGTATTTATCCAGTCAACTTGTTTGTAATAATCACAGGGCTATTTTCGCGAGTTAAGATCAATTTATACCGAGTGTTTAAGAAAGTTTATAAAAAAGATCATCGTAGTGGATTTTTACGACATTTGTGTTTGAAGTTATCATCATCGCAATGGCTGAAATTAACACTGAATAACGACTCTTCTTCCATATTTGATGCTGGTACTTTAACCTCAACGACACCTTATCTGCACATGGGCTCAACGACCAGGTCAGAGCCCTTCATGGCCTAGAGTTTGTCTATAGCCGTCCACAGTTTTAACGCACCATTTTCCATAATCACTAGGCCACGTCAACCATGACTTTTAGTCCATTATACCTATTCTTTTGTCTGGCTTCAAATATAGTCTTCTAATTCTTTTTTTTTTCAGGACGCTAATACTATACAATTATTATGTAGCTTACTGTACAGTTTTTTTGGAATTAAGCACAAAGCTACACAATGGGCTATCTGTGCTCTGCCCACCACGGGTATCGAAACCCGGTTTCTAGCGTTGTAAGTCTGCAGACATACCGCTGTGCCACTGGGGGGCCGCTCTCTGTACAGATTAAGAGTTACAAATAAATATATGATAACTGCTCCCGAGTGGTTGGTAGTTCTAAACTTGTACTTTTATCCCATATAAGACTAGCCCTTTGATGGTAAAGTATGACCAGAATGTGTGGATCAATATATGGTATGGTGTAAATTTAGAACCCTTATTGTAGATTACTACACATAAAGTTTTTCCTTAAAATTTATAGAACGGAAATTTATTTACGGAATTTATTTCACTTTCTTCACAGCTTGAAAGTCATAATGTTTTCCTTAATAAGAGATGCTACTAGATGGGAAGAAACTTAACGAAAGTGATCAATGAGATTTTTAAAGCTCTATTCGCCCTTAGATCTAATAAATTATGTTACAATGGCGGGTTTGTACTACTTTTACATATTCCAATACGTGTTACAGGAAACTAAATTCATCTTGTTTTATACTTTACCACATTCTTTACAATATATTGACAAAGTTCTAATAGCTGAGTCTATCTTTCTCCAGTTATATCAGCGACAGTTTTATGTTCCTGTTTTTGTTTTTTCCATTTGGAACTCAGAAAATACTGCTTTAATAAAAGTTTTTTTAATATACCTTATTTAATAATAACGTAAATTTTATGTAATTTCTACTTTGACTTTAAAACTGTGTTAACCAGAATGGATAAAGATATTGACACATAAACGATTGCGCCAACAGTCACGTACCAAATTTCGTGCTATTATTCTGGTTGCCAAAACATTGTTTTCAGGTCACTGAATTCTTGATGAACCATATTGTTTTAACCAGTCATTGACAGCGTTTATAAACTTGGCGCCAGCTGTTGTGCTATCTCGTGTACTAAAATGTTTGTTTTTTTTTTAAAGAAAGGCCTTAGCGTGGGTTTCTATAAACTTCCCAGGGATGATATTCATAAAAATGGGAATAAATAGATATAAGCAGTTTAGCGACAGTCTAATCTAGACTCAAAATCATGGGAATAATCATACAACGATCGTGTTTGTTGGAACCATTATTTCTTTTTCACTGCATTTTGTACTGTGGTGTTGAATATTTCAAACATTATTTGGCTAAAATGAATCGCGCAAATGAAACTTAGATCACCAGACCACAGGGATTTCATTAGCAGTCGTGTTTATGGAACAAGTCTTTACATGACTCGATAAACAAAATCATAACCATCGAGTGACTTGTAGGCTTTCATTGTCCCTCGAGTGTAAGTTATATTTGTTTTTATCATTGTTATGACAATGACTTCGAAGTGTGTTCCTTTTATAAAAAACAAACAAACAAACAATCTGCCAAAATTGATATTTATGTTAATTTAAAGTTATAGTAAAACATTTTTTTTACCATTATTCAGAAATTATATGATTTCAAAATCATATAAACGTGAAATTTTATGTTACGACGTTTTGTATTTAGATTTAAAAATATATTATGTAAGTTGTTTGTTTTTTAATCTGACATTACAGTAAAACAGATAAACGCAACTAACAATTCTAAGATACATTTTTAGTTACCTTTGATGCAAGGAAAATTTTGACATCTTAGTTTGCAACAAGGCAAAAAAGCTTATTATTTATTGAATTTATTTACTTTATATAACTTAGACGTTTCAAAAAACGAAGGTGAGTGTAACTGTAAAGCCAGTAAGATTGTTAAGAAAGTCATATTGAAAGTAATGATTTTAATAGGCCCATTGGGATAATGACAGTTCATATTTTCTCAGCATTATTGTTATCTTATTTTTATTTTATTGTTCTTTAGGATTAGTTAATAAGTTCTTCATTAACGTTGCGTTCTAACTTCACAATTGGTACAACTATTATATATATATATATATATATATATATATATATTTATACAGTTTTTCTAATCTAAATATCTTCCTTGGAAACACCTGGCACTTTCTCCAGAATCTGTCTGATCTTTAGCACTCCCACATTGTTCAAACAACTTTACCACAATGATTGTGTTATACAAAATTACAGATAAAATTATTAACCGCCAACAACTAACCACATGTTTGTTTATGTTTATGAATTTTATTGACTGTCACGTGACTTACAAGTGTTAGATGACTTCACTAAATGTTATATAACTTTTTACTAAAATGGTGAAGTTTCTATATGTGCTAACCTACTTTCACTTTACTCGTCTCAACTTATTACAAACATTATCTGCGCTACTTTTTTTTTTAATTCACAATATACCATTACTATTTGTTTGACAGACTAGTGATGTGTTATCAATTCTTTAAATAAAATTTTATAAGTTTTCGAACTTTTTGTTTCTTACAAAGTATCACAAGCGTTAATATTTTCTTAAGTCTGGTTATATGATCATAGTTGGTTGAAGACAAACGCAAATATTTTTAAATCGAAATTCGTAGTTTACTAAATTCATTAAACCTTACTAAATAGATCTTTCTAAGCCTTGCAATAACGATAAAATATATATTTTGTTTATTGTTCGTTTCAATATAGACCTCTACTGATACACGATTTAACCATTTTCAAATATAATGAGCTGCTTCCCCGGACAATCTAATATATTTCGTTTTTTGTTTTTATAGTCAGTTATAGTCATTGACTTCTCATGGAAGAACTACAAAAGCTCTTGCTGGAGAAGGAGAGGAAGTGTGAGATCCAAAAGCGAAACACAACACCCACTGGAGAAAGTGAGTTGTTTAACTGCAGAATTATATTTTATTTTCAGAAATGCAGGTACGATATGTTGAACGAAATTTGGAATAGTCTTTAGTTTATATATTTTATGATACCATCACTTTACGATGGCTCTCTTTGCTTCAAGTTGCAAAACGAGTTTTCAATTACAAGTTTTGGAAATAATGAAGGTTTAATAGAACTTTACATTATACCTGATGGGAATCACTAATTTCCGTGGGAATACAAAGGAAATTTCATTAATTCTAAATTTCCTTTGAAATGGATAATCACAATCTGAGATAAGATTACTAGAGATTAATATTTAATGTTAGAGATGCTATAGTTACAAGTTCTAGTTCAGGAAGCAAAAGGTAATTGTTGAAGAAATAATGAATTTAAGAATGAGGAGACTTTATTTCAGAATTTTCGAACAAATGTACACAAGATCTAATTTTTGAGTTAATAGGTAGCTCTTGAGCTACTCTTATCTGACCAAATCCTGTGATTTTATTATCACTCTTATAACGCACTAACAGCCGAATGTTCGGAGCAAGCTCTTTCTTTAGCGGTTCGTGAGCCTCGCATCCTATGATTCCCAGTCCCAGTACGCTAACGTACAAAAAAAACGGAGTATTTAGATGAGTTTTTTTTATCAAGAAAATTGATATACCCTAATTGTGTAGCCATAAAAACATTTGCTTTTTCTAAGAAAAAAATGTGTGTGACGTTACATAAATGCTTAGTGTTCTACGGACAGGTTAAGAACAAAGTAAAACAGAGTTATATTGCAATATACAAGTTGTATAGTACAATATAATTGTACATGTTGTGATTAAAGTAGTATTTGGAATCATTAGCCTTGATCTAAGAGTTTTATCAAACTTTGACGTCCAAAGCTGTGAATTAGCTGCATCCATCACTTATTTGGTGAAGTGCAGTCTATACCCACGCGCATACGTGTCTGAAATGTTGTTTTTGTTTATAATGTTTGATATAAAGATAAGACAAAAATGAAAAATGCATTGAATTGGCATTAAAGTTTCTTTCAAGAAGAGAGAAGATTCAAAACATAGGATCTCTGTGGAATTCACCTGCAGCGATGTGGACATTTCATATGTTAAGCAAATAAACTTAGTCTAGCTGAATAGATTTAGATATAAAAAGGCTGAAAGAGGATAGATAGACTTATACCCAATCTACCCCCAAGCTATGACACGCATTCACTATAAAAACACATGCAAACCCATAGTAGTCCAAAAGTAACTCCCGTAAAATGTGCCGTTGCGATACGAAATATCGTACAAATACGTATTATCAATCTAAAATGTTATTCCTAACAAGATACTGATTGTTATTTGTATAAAGAATCGTTATATGCTAATACACTTACTGTACAAAAAATTGTTGAAAAAAGAATCGTGCGTATATCCTCAGAATTTTACATTTATCATGACATAATCTACATTTTTGATACCGATGAACATGACATAAGATTTAACCAGATGCGAAACTATGCAGTTAACGTAGCAATTTCTATACGCATATGTTCGGTTATGAGTGAAGTACTAAATATAGAAACATCAGCGTAAGATATGAAATACTAGATAAAAGTTTTATCGTTCTCAGAATTCCTATTTGTAAAAACGTATACAAACTAAAACGAAATTACTCATAGCATACAAAGATCAATGTATGATATGGAGACATGCAACTAGCAAACAAAACATATTGAACACTTATATAGCTGATTATCAAAATCCCCTAAAATTCGGGCAATAATCTTAAACTAAATGATATGAAAATCCACGTTGAGTTTATTCAATATAAGTAGACCTTGGAATCCAGAGGAAGTATTTTTTTTCATTGTATTTCACGCAAAATTGCTTGAGGTCTATCTGCTCTAACCGTTCCTAATGATAGAATAGCGGGAAGACAGCTAATCAACACACTCACTGCCAACTCTTGGGCTACTCTTTACCAAAAATATAGTACGATTAACCGTCAGATTATAATACTTCCAAGGCTGAAAGTGCAAGCATGTTTGGGGATGGGATTCGAACCCGCAAACTCAAACTGTGATTCGAGTACCCTAACTACCATGCCATGTCAGACCACACAGAGAAAAAAAAAGGAAATGGATGGAACAAATAGTAGGTTTTGATAACAAAATGATTGATTGCTAGTTTATGAGTAAAACTTTAAACGTTCAATCCGTTTTTGTTTTTTAATCCAACGTATGTTATTGTATTCCTTTTCTTAAATAATCTGTCGTATATTTGTTTGTGTACTGCATATTACATATCCTAAAAGTTTCTTACTATATGAAATCATATACTTCTATGTCTAAATAAGTTTGGAAATTGTTACTATTTGTACTTAAAGTTCTGTTTCTTTATTGTTCCTTTTTTCCACCGTGGAATCATATACTTCTATTTGTAAATGGGTTTGGAGATTTTTATTTTTTGTGCTTAAAGTTCTGTTTCTTTATTGTTCCTTTTTTTCCACCAAGGAATCATATACTTCTATTTCAAAATGGGTTTGGAAATTTCTATTATCTGGGCTTAAAGTTCTGTTTCTTTATTATTCCTTTTTTTACACCAAGGACAACCGGTTGAACAAATAGAAAATGTTCTTAGATGAGATTGGACCTCCGGAAAATTGATGTATTTTTGTAAAGTATAAGTTTGATTCTAAGAAAAAGTTTCTTTTAAGTTTGTTCTAACGATATCTTGAGATTGATATAATGAATGAGTTCGTATGCACAACTTGAACGAATTCTATAACATGTTTTATATTTATTTCAAGATTCAATCTGTTTACACATTTCTATGACGAATATTAAATGGCTTAACCTACTCCTTAACCAAAAGTAAATAACGATCTACAGTCTTCATTAAGTTGCATTTTCATTTACTACATACTATCATTAGATTAAAGCACTAAAGTCTTTGAATCGAATTTCAAAGTAAAGTTAAAGTCACTAAAAGGAAATGCTCATGCTACCTTTATGCTTAGATTTGCAAATTCTAATTTGACATCAAGCCATTCAGTTTTTCTCCGCAATGCTCGTCTTTGAGGAACTCGTTTCTTACTACATGTACTACAAGCTGCTTTATATCTTCTATTGCTAGTTTGTAAACAACTATCGCATTAAACCTAGATGCCTTACAAATGTCATTAATACTGTATCATCATTGTTTAATACAGCATTTTATCACTATACAGTTCAAGACTAAAATAACAGTTTTACGATACAAAACATAATAACATTCTTATGGTTAAACACAACGAACATAAATTATTCAGGTGATTACGTTGCTTATTAGCCTGTGTTTTATATAAATCGGTCATTTTGTAGTGAAAGACTAGAGAGAGAAGTCAGCTAGTCTAGCCAACGCTTGGGCTACTCTTTTACGAACGAATTGTTGAATTGACCGTCACATTATAACGCCCCAGTGGCTGAAAGAGCGAACATGTTCGGCGGCGGGGAGTCGAACTCGTGATCCGTAGTTTGCGAGAGTCTAGCGCCCTAACCGCTAAGCGAATCAAGGCACCCAGAAAAATACAGTTAAAAAACAACAAAAATTACTGTTATCTTATACTTGTATTTGATTTGTCCAGTTCAAGTAATATTAAGTTTGTTATGTATTAGAATTTCAAATGGTCTGTAACCGAGTTAAATGGTACTTTAAATTTAGTAGTTAAATTGTACCTTGAATTTAGTATTTAAATATATGCCGATATATAGTCAGTTTATGATATTTGCCAACAAGATTGATACAAACAATTCTCTTTTTTAACACAAATACGTTTTAATATACACACAACAGTACAATTGACAATAACAATTATTAGAAATATTTATTACAAACAATTATTTATAACAAAAGGTTCACAAACACTATAAAGTATTCTTTTTAGTCTGGAACTTCCTTGATATTTTATCGAGCGTTCACGATGAGTGTGTTTATTATGAGTTGATGTAGGTACGATTCACTTCTGGGGGAGCTAGTTAGCTTTGTCCTTCACATATCACACGCTGAGTTTTCCACCATGACGTTAAGTAATATTTTAGTAAAAATACTAATGCCCGATGAGAATCCACTGAAGTTAAATAATTTGTAATATTCGAACTTTATAAAGGTTCCTGGTCAAATATCTGAAGTTTTCCGATTGGTAAGCGTTATAAAAATCACAGTTATATCTTCCGAGGTTTTATAGCACACTGATTATAGCAAACTAATGATAGATACTCTTTTTTTGGCGCGTCGTGTTGGTTATATTTATAGCCGTGTGGAGGCGTTCTAGAAAATTCAGATTACGTAACAATACAAATTTAAACCTTTACGTACACACACATATATTGTTGATTCCTACTCTCGAGAATATTCTACAACGTTGAAGAATAGGCGGGAGTTTCGCAATACATATTTAACACTATAAGCTACGCATGTTTTAAAATATAAACTTAATCTAAAAAACGTTGATATTAAAATAAATATATAATAACATATTTGTTACAAGTTGAAATGTGTTTTAAAGGAATTAAATATTATTAAACCAGCAGCATGCCAAGGGCATACTTGCATTTATCATAAATTACTGAATTTTTTATCTTTTAATGCTTGTTCTTTGTTTTTGTTTACATTAACTTGTACTTAACTTAACATTCATGATTCAACGCGCCCTCAATGCTATTTATTATTTAAAATAATACTTGGATGTCGTTTATAGTGGTTGAATTAATAGTTTGTTTGTTTTAGACCAGGGCCACATTAGTTTATCTGCTGTGTACACCGTGGAGAATCGAACCTCCACTGTAAGTTTGGAAACTTACCGGTGTTCCACTGGAAGACTTGAATAAATTAAACAAAATAATTTTTGGGATCTCTGAGAGCCAAAGTTACACTACGTATCAAAACTAATCCCTGTTACGTAGTTGTTGTTGTTGTTTATTATTAAGCACAAAGCTACACAAAGGGCTATATATGATCTGCCCACCACGGGTATC